CACTTTTAAATACACTACATATAGTATACATACACTTCTTTTCAATGTCTTACCATTATTTAAATCATATTTGTGTCAATTATGATATCATTTAAAAAAAAAACAAGTTTATGAACCTAGAAAATATCGGATGAGGAATTGTCACACTACAAAAGCAAAATGTGTCACATGGGTAAATCACTACAAAATTTGTCATTTATTATTTAAATAATGCATACAGACATACGTATATATAATCTGTAGTGGACTTCGTGATGTGCAGATGTGCTACATGGAGCTCGATAGGCCTTGGTTCTTAGATTTGTGACAAAATCATTAGCGGTGATTCTATTGAATTTCCCGCTGAAGGTCTATTGCTGATATTCGCTTGGCCTGTATTGCCGCTCTTGTGAATTACCAGAAAAACGATCGAAATGGATCTTAAGATCGAACAGGAAGTGGCTCTTTAAAAAATCCCAAGCAAGCAACCGGACGGAATGCAGGTACAGCTGAGAGCGGATTTTAATGTGTTGTGCATGACTCCTTGAAATCATTCACGGAAGGGGTATCTACTTTGCAGTTCTCATTTAAAAGTCTTGGGGACACAGTGAGAGAAATACTAGGGAATTCACTAAATGGTCTAAGATAGTTGAAATAAAGGTGGCTAAATTGTGTAAGTTAAACAACGAACTACATGAAATCGTAAGTGCTCAAAGAGAGTAGATACGAGCATTGGGCGAGTTATATGTAATAATCTTGCTGCTCTGTGATTTTGGGCCGGAGGAAGATGGCGAACGGCCAAACGAGATATTTCCAGGCCAGTGGAAGTGGCGCATCGCACCGGCAGAAGAAATAAAGACCCAAAAAAATAATAGACCTATTATCTTTAAGGTTTTGTCGTTGCTAGAAAAGGACAGTATTTGAAGACAGCGCGAGACTTTTTGAAAGTCGAAAACTATGACATAAAAACAAATGACATACTCGATAAAGATCACCAGCTTCCCATCTAAATGATGAAATAGGTTTCAAGGAAATTAAGGAAGCTGTAAAAAAAAGCTGCAGGGGCTGATGGTTTAATTGCAAAAATAATTAAAAATTATACATCTATACGAATTTTATATGCTCTCTTTAGTGAATGCAGTGCAATGATAAATAGGATTAATAAATCCAATTCCGAAAGCGGGTAATAGTGATCCACGAAATCCAATGCAATATAGAGGTATCGCATTATTATCTGTAATATGTAAAGTGTACTGTGAAATATTAAGACAACGTTTAGTTGTATGATGGAAATCCTTGTTCTTGTTCATGAGGAAAAATTGGTTTAGACAAAATCGTGAATGCCCAGACTATTTATATTCATTAACATATATAATTGAAAACAGTAAAAAAAAAAAAAAAAATCAACTTTTGCGTGCTTTATAGATTCGCACAAAGCATTGTCTTTGGTGTAAATTAGGTTATTATAATTCATGGTCACATGTAGGGAGGAGGGGGTTGGTTGGGTCAGGGGTTGGTTGAATCAGCTGGTTTTGCGCCTGGAATAAAGAAATTGGACAAATTTTTAGATTGGGCCTGGCAACTGTATCACATTACGAAGCCTTCTGCATAAAAAATCTCATCGTCAAAATTTATCTTATTATTCTATTGCGTTTACCTGATTTCAAGCCCGTAAGTTGACTTTTTTGAATTTGTACACATTATTAATTAGTAATTTTTAGGTAATTAATATTCGAAAATCCAAAGTATAGTTTTGAAGCTTATGTATTAGGGTACAAAATACACCTAGCCTCATCACGTCTGAAGCATCATAACGTGGTGTAATTTGACGAAATACATAGCGTGGTCTACGTGGGGTTGGTTGAGTCAGGTGATTCAACCATCCCCACGTCAGCGGCCTAGCATTATGTGTACAATTAAGCCTATAATTAAGACTTTGGCTTATTCTTACACTCTTGGTTCTAGGTATTGACTAGCACTAGGCCTAGAATAGTACTAGGCTAAGATTTTAAAACTTAAATGGCATACCTTGCATGCATTTGTTGTTGTTTTTTTTTTTAATTTTACATGATTTATAATAATTTTGATAATTTTTTAAAATTTTTAGGTCTACCATCATTATGGTAAGAAATTTTAAACGGAAGTCAGAGCGGGGCAAAGACACAGACCTTATACGGCGTGCCGTCAGATCAGTTTTACATGATCAATTGCCTGTCCGTGCCGTTGCTAAAGAATTTGGAGTGTCATATAGCACCCTACAAAGACATGTCAACAAAATTAAAGCAGGTAAATAAACTTAAGATCGTATAATACATATGCCAAGTATTGGAATACAAGTCACCGTGTTGCCATTCAATATTTTGACTACTGTATGTCATCAGAAATAACTTTAAATTATTATTTAAATACATAACTTAACTGAGCAAGTGTAAATACTTTATTATTTTTCTTATCAAAAAATAATGTGCTAATTAGATTTAATTTGTTGTTTTTAGATGCAGATAATCAACTCGGAAATCGGATGGACATTGTAAGAATTGTTTCTACGGCCAAGATCGGTTACCAAAAAAATCGACAAGTGTTTACAGATGAGCAAGAACACCAGCTAGTTCAGTACATTATTCGGGCTTTGTCCATGTATTTTGGCATGACCCCTGATGACATAAGATCCTTTGCATGCGAGATTGCAACAGCTCATAATATTGCCGTTCCTGAAAGTTGGTTGGAAAACAAAAAAGCCGGGAAAGATTGGTTTACATCGTTTATGAAGCGGCAACAGAATATTAGCATTCGACAACCAGAGGCCACAAGTTTAGCACGAGCCATCAACTTTAACCGGCCAAATGTTAATCTATTCTTCAACAAGTTAGCAACTGTAATGGACAGGCATCACTTTAGTCCAAATGACATATGGAACGTTGATGAAACTGGTGCGACAACTGTACAGAAGCCCTCTAAAGTTGTTGCTAAGAAAGGTGAAAAACAAGTGGGTGCAATTGTAAGTGCAGAGAGAGGCACTCTTGTTACAGTTTGCCAAGCAGTTAATGCTGTGGGGAATGCCACCCCCTATGTTTCTGTTCCCAAGGAAGCAGTTCTTTGAGCCGATGATTCGAGATGGACCACCAGGATGTGTAGGCCGAAGCAATGGATCTGGATGGATGAGTGGTGATGACTTTCTTGCATTTATGGAGCATTTTGTAAAATATGCTCACCCCTCCAAAGATCATCCTAAGCTCCTGCTTTTGGACAACTGCGGACCCCATATGTCGATTGCTACAATTGATTTTGCCAGGGAAAATGGCATAATTTTGCTAAGTTTTCCTCCACACACAAGTCATAAACTCCAGCCACTAGATCGTAGTGTGTATGGACCATTCAAGACTTATCTTAAATGTGCCCAAGGGACATGGTTACGCAACCATCCTGGAGAGCGAATGACAATACATGATATTCCTGGATTGGTCAACACCGCACTCACCAAAGCTAACACCCCCGCCAACATCATAAATGGTTTCCGAAAATGTGGGATTTACCCGTACAACAGCGACATATTTGACGACCATGAGTTTGCGCCAGCTGAACCAACAGATCAGCCACTGCATCCAAACGCGGACGATGCACAGCAACCAGATGCCCTGGAACTACCACAAACAGCTCCTGAACAACCACCAATAGTTCATGAGCAGCCCCAAGCTGCCCCTAGAGACCAACTGGTCATATCGCCACCAACCCGAAACCAAGTACCTGAGCCTATGGACATAAGCGATGAAGATGTCCCTTCCACAAGTTCAGCATCTTTTAGAAAACAACTGACGTTCTCATCGGAACCGAATTTTAGCCCGGAGGTAATTCGCCCGCTTCCGAAAGCACCAGTGAAACAAAAGACAACAACTAAAAGAAGAACGCTGAAAACAGCAATTTTAACAGATACCCCCGAGAAAGAAGCAATTAGAATAAGAAAAGAAAAGGAAAGAAGTCAAAAAATCAGAAAAAGAAAGTGACCGAGAAATCAAAATAAAGTCGGCAAGAAGCGGCTGAAGCTATTTGGTTATGCGATATATGCGGTGAAAGTTTTTCGAACAGCAGACCTGGAGAGGAGTGGGTGAAGTGTACAGTTGATAGATGTGAACAATGGGCCCATGAAGAGTGTATAGAAGACAGCGAAACATTTCTTTGCCTACACTGCGATAAGTAAAGGACATAGATAATACCTGTAAGGTGTTGTTTTTAGGAACTGTATGATTTCCGAATTTCAAAGTTTCTGTTGCTACATACAGTATATACAGAAATCAGAATCATCTTTTTCTCTTTCTAATATAAAAAAAATTGCTTAAAAAACCTTTAAAATTCATTTAAAAAAAATTAAAAGTTCAGTATACGTATGATAAATACACACAATCCATAATACCAAATTGATCATTTACTACTGCTACTCTATCATAATAATTATAATGATAATAATTATAATAATAATACTGTATGTTAAATCCTGAAAAGTGAAAATAAACATGTTTTTGAAGATTTACAATGACTAGTATGTATTGTATTGCTTAAAACTGACTAATGCACATCATTTACATTGGTGATTCAACCAACCCTTATGATGATTCAACCAACCCCGTGACGGACTAATTTACCTTTTTTTTTTAATGACCTGTTAATTGCAGACTTTTAATTTTTTGACAATTTTTTTTGCTTTAGTATTGGCAGATATACTTGAAGTTACATTTCACCAAATTTTAGCTATTTTAAAGCACTCTGGCAGTGTCGAGGGCCTAAAAACCCCAAATTGACCCAACCAACCCCGTCCATTAAATGTTTGTATAACGATGTTAAAGGGGCAGTAAGGTTTTATCATTAATGATTCAAAAGTTGATGTGCTTTTATATACAGATGATATTGCATTTTTTTTTGCGGAGAATGAAAATTCACTTCAAATGAAATTCTCATCTCAGAGTGAAATGCAAGTGGCACATTTTCGCACTAAATCTCAAAACAAGAGTTTATTTAAATCTTGAATCTTAATCGTATCCATAAAAAGTCAACAAAACGCTTACCGACCATCAGAGTCCTGTGCTGTGCAGACCTGCCCCACCGTGCTTTACAAATCAATTGTGCAAGTAAAATATTATGAAAGAGTTAAAGATGTTGATGGGTTGGAATAGGCTGAAGATCCCTCAAGATTGGTAGCGCTAAACTCTGGAACTGTTCGATTAAAGGAGCTACGACGACAGATTAAGGGAGTCTATTCCACACAGGAATGGTGCGCACAAAAAAAGAATACCACCGGTAAGTGTTTACTCTTGAATGAATGTTTTTGTAGCTGAGGATATTGATGTTTCCTCCTGGTCGGCTTGTTGGAACAACACAACTTGGAAAAGATATGTCTACCAACCCAAACCTAATCTTGTAAAACATGGAGCACTGATGGTAAAGTCTCATGTAGCAAAAGGGAATCCCACTGGAGATCCTATAACATCTCAGAGACACTGGCTGTTCAAACAAGTTGTTGGTGACAAAACGAGCTGCCTGACGCTGTACAACTTCTATAGAGTTCACTTGCCCACTAGCGTGTGGGTTCCATGCTGCAGATGAATATTCTAGTTTTGGACGCACAGGGGTTTGGGATGCACGCACCTTAACATTCCTGGGACATGATAAAAGATTTCTCCTTAAAACTCCTAGAGTACTACGGGCACTGGTTGTAATATTTTGTACGTGGTTTTTCCAGTCTAAGTGCTTGTTGATGGTCTCTCCCAGGTATTTGTGTTTTGAGGATTCGGGGATTTTATTTTTCCGTTATTGTTATAGGTATGTTGGTGACCACTTGGAATCTGTTCCGTTGACTGTTGCACATTGCTCACGCCAGTTTAGGAACCTTTCAATACATTGTAAGGTTTTCCTTCTTGTGCCATAGTAATCAAGCTTAATAGAAAGTCTACGATGTGGGACTTTGTCAAATGCTTTGCTGAAGTCAAGTAACAAAACATTCGTCTGCCCTCCACGGTTCAAAACTTCGGTCTAGTCGTGTGTGGCCTGAATTAGTAGTCTCACAGGACAACTTTTCTCTGAAACCATGTTACTGCTTAATTATAATTTTGTTAGCAGCGAGATGTTTATTCATGTGCGAAAGGACAATGTGCTCAAGTAAGGCTAACAGGGCGAAAATATTCAGGTGCAGATTTTGAGCCTTTCATATGTATACCTGTGACCAGAGCTTTTTTCCAATCAGATTTTAGAACACCAGTATTGTATGATTGCTTGATGATAAATAGAGCAGGAGCCCAAGGGTGTCAGCTTAGCGGGAAAGTTAACCAATTTTTGTGTATATATTAATGTTCTATGTGCCTGTCTATGTAGGAGAATGGGCATCTTCCGGTCCCATTGTGGTGGGTGTGGTCAGGAGGGGCATAAAAAGGGCCCCAAAAATTGAGCTAGATCAACTTGTGAATTAACCCAATGAAACCTATCAGAATATATTCGGCATAGTTCAAGATATCACGAATGGACAATGCCAGACATTTTCAATGGTGGGGGGTGGGTGCCAGACGTAAAAAACCGGTACCCCAAAATTAAGCTAGATCAGCTTGTGAGTTAACCCGATGAAACCTACTGGAAAATGTTGGGCATAGTACCAGGTATCAGGAATGTCACCGACAGATATCCTGTCAGACACCCCCAAATACCCCACCCAAAAAATTGACCTAGATCAGCCTGTGAGTTAACCCGATAAAAGCTACTAGAAAATGTTGGGCTTGGTACCAGGTATCAGAAATGGCTACTGCAAGACATTTTTAATGGTGGGGTGTACCTGCCAGACACCCACTTATAGCCCGCCCCCGAAAATTGACCTAGATCAGCTTGTGAGTTAACCCGATAAAACCTACTGGAAAATGTTCAGTATAGTACCAGGTATCATGAGTGGCCACTGCCAGACATTTGTAGTGGGGGGGGGGGGGTACCAGCCAGACACCCCCTTATACCCTGCGCCCCCCCCCCCCAACCACCCAAAAAAAAAACATAGATCAGCTTGTAAGTTAACACGATCAAACGAATTTCAAAAAAATGGGCATGGCACCAGGTATCACGAATGACCACTGCCAGACATTTTTTAGTGTGGTGTATCTACCAGACACCTCCTTATGCCCTGCTCCCTCCCAACCCCCCAAAAGAAAAAAAAATATCAAGATTATCTAGTGAGTTCATCTGATAAAATGTTACATGACATGACACGTTACATGTAACATGAGTGACCACAATGACAATCAAACATTTGTGGTGGAGGTAACCCGAGGAAACATATTGTTTAGCATAGTACCAGTGGCCACTGCCGAACATTTATAGTGGTGGGGTGTACCCACCAAACGTGTCCTTATTTCCCACCACCAGAATTGACCTAGATTAGGTAATGAGTAACCTGATGAAACTTACTGTGTAAGATGTTCATTGTAGTCCAAGTTATTATGAATGGCCACTGTCAGACAATTCTGATGGTGGGGTGTGTCTGCTAGACACCCCTTATTCCCCGCCCCAAAAAATTGACCTAGATTATCTAGTAAGTTAACGTGATGAAAGTAACTGTGAAATGTTCGGCATTGTGGTGGGCAAAGTGATAGAAAACCTCTAGTCGTTTACGGCCCGACACTGATCACCTGTAAAAATTAGTATTAAAACTGAGCACTGCATGAGGGTTTTTGGAAGCACACTTGAAACATCAGAGGTAGTTTTCGTCACTCTGTTAAATCGAAAATTCACTTTGGCCCTCCAATTGATTTTTATGCCCACCCATACTCTAAATAATATGAGTGGATTTTAAGGATAGAAGTGTGGGGCTAATAAGGGAGTGTGGAGAGCCATGAAATTAGGTTTAGACTGGATGGAAAACTTCAAGGCTGGGTGACTCCACCTCCTCTCCCTCCCCCATAACTACATCCCTGAATTTGCAAAATGTAGGCCTATCATACAATACTATAAACAGTTTAGCGATGAGATTCTATACAGGATTGAAAGTTTATGAATGCCCAATATTCAGTACGAGTAGATTTCCAGTACAAATAAAAATTGTAATGGAACTGGGTTTATTCCATTCGTAGAAGCCTTTTGATAAAGAAAGTTTCCTTTTTAGGAAGAGTTGCCTCCGTTAAAACTCGCTCGTACTATATGAAATTAATTATAAGCTTGAAATTTTGTTAATTTTAATGTAAGGAATACTACAGTAACTTCACGTTTAATTTTAATTACAAGTTAAATGTCGTATGTATATAGTTTGCCAATTTGCCCAATTTGCTTTAGAAAAATCTAGAAACTTTTTTATTTACAGGAATGTTAAACTTGCCTTATTTGCCCACTTGGTAGTGCTTTAGATAAATTTTGAATTGGTGCTATGTATATTTGTTATGTACAATTATTAGTAGTGATTAAAGACCAAAGTTTGTGATGATTTACCATCCATAATCGCGCACAGTTGAATATATCGTAGCACCATTCTTTTAGGTCTCTTAACATTCTTGAAGACATTTTTGTTAGTATCCATTAAAATATCGTAAAGAAAAATTTTACATTAACACGAATCCACAAAATTTTGTACGAGGACTAGTCACACTACAAAAGCAACACACGTGAGAATTCTTTGTTAGTACAGTAAAGTGGAAGGAGCAGAGTAATATTCAGTATTTAGGTAAATAGAACGTACCACTTCAGTGAGTACGTAGGTGTTTGTTCACTAACGGAATAATGTATATAAAGTGACCATGTTACCGGTACTAAAATAAGTCAATACATGACAAAAAATAAGGAATGTCTACATCTTTTACATATTTAACAAGTACTGTACAATCCAATTTTGACTATCATGCTCTTACAAAAAAAAGAAATTAATGAAAAAGAAAATATGAAACTCCTTGTCCCCCAAAAATTGATCTAGATTATCTAGTGAGTTAACCTGATGAAAGTTACTGTAAA